CAGATTAAACAGTTGTAAAAAGCAACCTTCCATAGTTTCTTCACAGCTTTGGCAAATTGCGAACTTCTCGAAATTTCTTTTAAAACAGTTTATTCCAATCTTGGTATAGTTTAATATAATGTTAAAACTTGTTATTTTGGTTTCAAAGATTATGAAAGGTGCGTAGCCAATTGCAATAAAATCCAATAAAATCCAATATTTGATGTTAAAATAAATTTGTTATAACCGACAATGTGTAAAAATTAAATTAATCAATAGAAAGAAGTACTGCCAGAGCTGCGAAACTATTACATAATTGATTTACCAAATATTATGATTCCCTTGTAGACCATAAAGCAATTAGTAATTATTTACTTTGCAGAAGAGAATGAATAGTTTTTAATGGGTTTTAAATAAATCGAAAATCGCCCGGAAATGTAAAATTGTAACTTCGGGTATTTAGTAGTTTCCAAAGTATCGATGAGAAACTTTTGCAACTGCTGCAAAAAATGTCAGCATTTCCTCCTTGCATTCTCTGCATAAAAATAGACAGCTTGGAATTTTCGAGATATTTAATATTACTGAATGGGAGAATCATCGATGATTTTTCACTTTCTGATAAAATAATAAATTAATAAATACAGGGAATCGTTAAAATTGCTCGCTCGCTTCACTAGCCGGAAAGAATTAAGAATAATTTTTTAATCATGAAATATTAAGAGTTTTCAAAGTTATATATATATATAACCAAAGTTAACTCTAAAACTAAGTAAAATCACTAATTTTTCAATACCCATCCCTCTTCTTCTTCTGTTTTTTTTTCTTCTGATAATCTTATGTTCTCCGCTATAATATCTACCGTGAAATGGTCCTTTGACCGCTAGAAAAATGCACGAACTTTTATAATAATGTCTGCACGAAAGTCGCAAACTTATTATTTATTACTGTTAATGTTCTCAAAGAAAATGTCATCCGCTTGTGTTTTTCTCACGTACGCGGAAAACATCAGCAGATTTTATTAGAATTTCTGAGAAACGAAAAACATGTCAAATTGAATATCGCAACAAAAAAAAAGATGTCTGTCGTACATATGAAATATGTTCCTGGAAAATGTTTACTGGATTGAATAACAATATTTAAATTACTGAAATAAAATATAAATGTGTCAATTTCAAGAGTATTCTCTCTAAAAAATGCCATACGTCTAAAATGCAAAATATAAGCGTTTTCTAATTATTACGTGAAAGTTATTTTGTGTTTTACTCTGTTCGTGCTAAATGATCTATTATTTGCAAGCAACTAGAAAAAAAAATATAAAGTTTATTTGAAAAGCGGTCGCTTGACTGCATTTCGTAAAATTATGCAGAAAATGTTGGTAGGTCTAGATTAGTATCAACAATAAAATCCTACTATGTTGTATATGATTAAAAAACATACCGCTGCTAACTGAACAATGCACTCTCATCAACTGCAACCATACGACTGAGCATAGAGATGCCTGCAGAGGTTATAGATATGTAAGAATCAAAGGGGATTTACCGCTCTGGCTTAGAGATATACAGGGTGTCTCAAAAAGGTCTCGCACTACGGAAATGTGGGGTAGCTGAGGTCATTCTAAGTAACTTTTTCCTTCGCAAAAATCCAATCTGCGGCTTTGTTTACGAGTTATTAACGAAAAAACACTGGCCAATGAGAGGTGACTGCGCACAGTGGTACGAAAGCTCGAAATCATGGTCGAAACAAGAAACAGTGACGGATTTATTTGAAAATTCGTATGTAAGGGTTTTCATGGTCGCTGATTACGAATCTGAATTTAACCCTTTGCACTCGAGTGGCGACTCTGAGGCACCACTAATATTTATTATATCAGCTTTTAAGATAATTTTGATATAAACAATGTTTACATTTGAAAAATTGTTAAGAGCGTAACAAGAGTCGATTTTCATATATGCATAAAATGCATTTTCTCATATAAAATAGAAATACTGTAAGTTAGAAAATTGATTTTATGCTTTCAGTTGAAATAGCTTCGAGTGCAAAGGGTTAAAAATTCCAAAAACAAAATTGTGGATCAAATATGGCGGATGAGTTGTTGAAAAAATGATTTGAATTTAATATAACCTTTCCAAGAACCAATAATGCGCCCCCCCTCCCCCGGTTGGAGACAACAAAATGTAACATAAACATCCTCTTGTCCGCTAAGGGTTAAAAGGTGTCCGAATACCAATTGACGTCACTGCATAAGTTACCGAGATCTACAAAATGCATTTCACAAATTTTCGTTACAAGCTCGGATAAAAAATGTTGAAACAAAATAATAATTTGTAATTAATAATAATTTAATAATAATAATAATAATTTGCAATTGCAAATAATAATTTGTAAAATTTGTTATCATGCCAATCAATTGCAATTTTTAAAAAACAATTTTTTAGTTATTGTCTAGCAAACTAATTCCTCTAATATTGGAAACAATTTAGATCTCTTGGTGCAATTATAATATTCCGTCGAAATTATATTCAGTTCTAAAAGGCTTTCATTTTCGTGAATGTGTGTGTGTCGAAGTGTTCACATTCCGTCTGGTCCGATATTTTTGTAGGATTTAACCGTGGGAATATATCAGTGATAATAAATATGTTGATGATCGATTTCCATAGTTTATTTCCAAATATTTTTCTTTACATTTGCGCTTGATAACTATGTTATCCATAATAACTGAGAACTCGGAACCGACTGTGAAGTAACATGAAAGAAACATGATCGGCCTAACTCTCGCATCCGATCAAATTCTGCATCCAAAAAAATGAAATATTTTTCCTTTGCGTACGATATCAATATTTTCAACAATATATCCAAAAAACGATAATTACCATGGAGTATGTTTTACGCTACATTAACTGTACGTTCGCCCGTGATCATAAATAAATTGTTTGTAAAAGATAATACTGAAATAAAAATTCATTTCGACGATTCGGTCAAATCTAAAAGCTTCGCACAGACGAGTCGCAATCTTCGTAACGTGTTGTCAGCGATATCGGCGGTGTTTCTTAAAATGTCATTCAACTCGTCGCATATCCTGTTCGCTTCTTCGTCCAGGACATGCGACGACGGATTCGATGAGAACTGACCCTCGGAACCGTCGCTCGACTCGGTTTCCATTCGAGCGAGCTTCTCGTCCCTTTGCGACTCCTCGTATCGACAGCAAATGTGGCAAACGTTCACCGAATTTTTAGCCACGTGTTGCAAGTAAAGCCGCACGTCCGAAAAGTCGAGGAGCTCGTAATAAGGCGTGCTGGAGAGATAAGCTGGAAGAGACTCGCCCAGCGATGGCTTCCTGGTAATGGCTGTCGCCATTTTGGTAACCAGATCCTCGTTCGGGCACATGTGAGCGATATAATCGAACGATTCCAAAGCTTCCTGCCGTACCCACGGATTGTTGTCTTCCAGAAGACGGCAATTCAATTCTGTCAGTGCATTCGCGGTCTTCGGACCGCAATTACCGAACTTGTTCACGTTGTCCTTCAGGTAATGCGACGCGGTCGCTCTGACGTGCGACGGCGAACACAGAAGCGACGTTAACATTGCTTCCAGAAGCTGAAATTTATTGCATATTGTTCCAGCGGGTTTCGATTTGAACGGATTGCGGCTAGATTTGTCCTAGGACTTTAACCCTTAGAACTCTATGGACGCATATACGCGTTTGGCGAAAGTCGTCCGTGTGGCCTAAGGCCGCATTTATGTGTTTTTTCTAAGTCATCGGCCTGGACTAAGGGCGCGTATATGCGTTTGTCGATTTTTTCGATCGATATGCAGTTATTTTCGTGTAAAATTAATACAGGGGCACTCGTTAGTAATTTGCCTTCCTTAGGGGTAGCGGTTGGGCAATATTAGGGTCATAAAAATCCCCGAGAATTTCCGAAATGGAAATCCCATTTTATGTCCCACTCTCTAACCAATTAGATTTCAAAATAATTATCTGCACCGTCACCTTTTCGCGGCTCAAAGCACTCAAAACGACTCAGTCAGCAGTATCGTCTTGTGAATGTAAGAACCTCACGGTCTCGCTCGCGTCAACAACGATAGTGCGGAATATTATTTTGTTTTATTCGTGACACCCTACAAAATGTCAAATCTCGAGGAATATTTCACAAGGGACGACAGTGAAATAGATTATAGTGAGTCAGACATTGAATCAGAAGATTAATTATTTGACCTTCTGCGAAAGAATCACTATAATTTATTACTGTTCGCGCCTTGAATAGTCGCTTCAGTGTGGCAAGAAATTATTCCGCACCCAGCAATGGTCACCGTTTCGGCTAGGAGCATTCAGAGCTCAAAAGGTTAAATGCGAAGGACAAATATTCGATATGCAGATCACGATGAACTAACAAGAACGCATTCGCGAGGCAATTGAATTTTAGTATTACAGTATTAATACAATTTTAGTATTTAGTATTACAGTATAATATAATAATATAATATATAGTATTATAATATATATAATATTATTATATATAATAATTAATAAATAATATAATAATAATTATATAATATAATATATATGTATAATATATAGTATTATAATATATATAACATTATTATATATAATAATTAATAAATAATATAATAATAATTATATAATATAATATATATGTATAATATATATATATATATATATATATAACTATCTATATCTAATGCACTAGGACTATCTAAATGCTCTTTTTACCGAAAACTCTGTGTTTTCCAATAACTTAAAAACGAGTTATTTCGGTTGCTCATGCTTCTTATGACCATATTTTTCAATTAACATTTTACTTTTAATATATCTATTCGAATAAAATTCAAATAGCCTTACGGACAACAGGATTAAATTGTAAATGTTTTAAAATAAATCGTGGCAGATGAAGTGACAGAAATCTATTCTTAAATCGGGCGTATCGAATATTTAACATAACATTCGCTCAAGCAGCGGTATATGTAATTAATTATAAGAAGAAGTTAGCATACCGTGTGGAATATGTCATCTTGAATATTTTCCGGCTGCGTGGCTTCGATCAGTTTCCGCGTGAATTCCGACACTATGTCCACTTGCCTGTCTTCCAAAATCTCGATCGTGCTCGAAATGCAGTTCCACATCTGCGAAAATACGTCCGCGGTGTTCTTCTCTCCGGTATAATTAAGTTTCCCAATGAAAAACAGCAGCGTTGCCTTGCGTACAGAAAAAAAAAAGAGACGACGGTGACCGTTGCGAACTTTGAAAGAGAACGATATTCATCGGCGATGCTTCGACCGATGCGGCTTACGACTTACGAAACGATTCCAATTTTGCACCGTGGGCTGCCGTTGAAGTTTCAGAAAAGCCTCGGGGATTTCTTTAAGCGCGCAGGTCAGACGTTTCTGCAGAAACGATCTCGTTTTCGTTGGCAAAAAGCTCGCGACAGCACACCAGGATCGGCTCTCGAGATCGTCGAGCTCCGTTATGATAGAGTGCCTCGACTCTTCCGAGAGCAAACTGTACAATCTTCCGATCAAGTTCTCCAAAATGACAAGTTCGAGGCTGTTGCCTCGTTCCGTTAACGACGTGTAAACTTTCAATAAATATTTCACGTGATTGACGCACAGTTCCGAAGAACTGATTCTGCAAATAATGTGTTACTGATCGTTTAACAGAATCGTGGATAGCCGACGGTTTTATGAAAATTATAAG